GTGTCCTGGGCCTTCTCTTTTCCCAGGCCTCTTGCCAGGAGGGGGCTTTCTATAGCCCTGTGCCTCCAGGGCGTGTGGCCTTCCGGCCATGCACCCTAGACTTCCTGGCCTAGATGGTTCCTGGTGCTCGGTATGAACCCAGATTCACCTCTCTCTCTCTTAAATAAAGCTCTCACTCTCCTATGCATCTTTCTCACTAAATAAAGGCTTAAAACATACCATGCTGCCTCGTTTATCTGTGCCGGTATTTAGAATTCTTCTCTAAATATTAGACAGAAACCCTCTTGGGCTTATTAATATAGGGGATTTACTAATAAGCATATGGTGAAATCGTATGGCACCCCAAATTCCAGTAGCATATGTGGCACCCCAGATGGCGCTTCTGGGGAACTTTAAAGAACCACAATTTTGTGTAGATTTTAGGGGGTCATCTCCGTTTTCAATCCTACGAACGCCTTTGCCCCTCCCCTGTTCAGGGGGTGGCCAAGGGGACCAGATTGGAGAGGACAGTCCCTGAGGCTGTGCTGGTGGGGTCACGCCCATGCTCTTCCCCCTCAAGGCCTGTTTTTCTCAGGGTTGGATGCTGTGTTCACGGATTGGATTATTAAAATGTCCATACTACCCCCAAGTAATATACACATTCAGTGCAATCCCTATCAAGTTTCCAAAGGCGATTTTCACAGAAGTAGGAAAAACAATCCTAAAATGCACATAGAATCACAAAAGACCCCAAAGAGTCCAAGCAGTCTTGAGACAGAAGAACAAAGTGGAAAACAGCTTTGTGACTCCAAATCATGTTACAAAGCTACAGTAATCAAAACAATGTGGTACTGGCATGAAAACAGGTACAGACCAATGGAACAGACTTAAGACCTATACATCCACAGTCAGCTGGTGTTTGACAAAGACCAAGAATACACAGGGGGAAAGGGCAGGTGTTGGGAAACCTGGATACAAACATGCAACAGGGGAGAAGTTAGACCCCTATCTTATATCACTCACAAAAATCCACTCAAAATGGACTACAGAGTTCAGTATAACACCCCAAAACTGCATAATTCTTACACTAAACATAGGAAGAAAAGCTCCTTGACATTTGTCTTGGCAATGACATTTTGATAGGACCCTAAAGGATAGATAATAAAAGCAAAAATGAAAGTGAGACTACATAAAACTAAAAAGCTCCTATGTAGCCAAAGAAATGAGTACAAAAGACATCCCATGAAATGGTAGAAAGCGTTTACCACCCACATATCCAATAGAGGTTAATATCCGAAATATCTAAGGGATTTATACAGCTCAATGGCAAAAAAAAACGGGCAAAGGACTTGAATAGACATTTCTCCAAAGACATGCAAATGAGCTATCATCTCACACCTGCTAGGAAGGCGACTGTCAGAAAGGTAAGAGCTAAGAAGAAAAGGGAACATCTGTACCGGGTTGGTGGGAATGTAAATTGGTATTGTCACTGGAGAACACAGTATGGAAGTTCCTCAAAAATTTAAAAATAGAGCTACCAGAGGATCAGCAGTCCCTTTTCTGGATGCATATTCGAAAGAATTGCAATTAGCATCGCAAAGAGAGACTTGCACAGTCCTCCCACGTTCATTACCGCATTACTGGTGGTAGCCAAGGCGAGGAAACCGCTCTCGCTCTCCCGTCTCCTGGCGGATTACTGGATAAAGAGGATGTGCTCCCCTCCCCCACCAGGCACCCAGACATGCCCATGAGGGTGGTAGTCAGCAACCGCAGAAGGAAAGCCTGCCATGTGCAGCAGCACAGGTGAACCTCGAAGGCGTTGCACTAACTGAGACGCATCAAAGACAAATACTGCCTGGGCTCCCTTGTATATGGAAGCTGAAAAAGTCCCACTCAGAAACAGAGAGCAGAACTCTGACGGGAGGGGGAAGGGGAAGATGTTGATCAAAAGGGACAAACTGTCAGCTGTAAAATGAGCCGGTGCCGGGGATGCTGTGTGTGGCCGTGGCTAACAACTCTGAGCACGTGGTGGGACAGTCCCTCTTCAGTGTTCTGACGCATAGTCACACAAAGACAACATACCAGGAGATGGACAGGTTAAGGCACCATTTCACAACGTATGCCCACATCAACTGGACATGACAAATACAATCGATTTTTGTCAGTTATTCTTCAGTAAAACTGAGCGGGAGGTGTGGGAAATGGCCAGAGACCGAGTTAAAAGAAGGTGAATGGACTTGGCAGATAATTTTTTTGTAACTATAGAAATGTGCCTTGTTCTAGGTGAATTTTAGAGGATGAATGTTGATATTTTACACTCTCTTAAAAGGCTTTACAGATTTTTAGAGACGAGTACTAATTATCCAAGCCTGCTTCTCCTAACCCTCATGTAGAAAGGGACCACTTTTTTAAAAAGATTTTTATTTATTTATTTGAAAGGCAGAGTTACAAAGGGGGAGACAGACAGAAAGATCTTCCATCTGCTGGTTCACTCCCCAGTTGGCCTCAAGAGCCCAGCTGCCAGGAGCCAGGAGCTTCTTCTGGGTCTCTCACGCGGGTGCAGGGGCCCAAGCACTTGGGCCATCTTCTACTGCTTTCCCAGGCCATTAGCAGGGAGCTGGTTGGGAAGAGGAGCGGCTGGGACATGAACCAGTGCCCATAGGGGGTGGAGGCTCAGCCCAGGACTCCACAGCGCCGGCCCCAGAGAGGGATGCTCTTACCTAGCCACCTGCTGAGTGTAGGAAAGCAATGCCACACACGGTAAGCACGGCATTGGAGACACTCACGTGAGGCCAGGTGTGCTGGTTAATTTTAGGTGTCAGATTGACTAGATTAAGGAATGCCTAGAAACCAGGAAAAGTGTTATTTTGAGTGTGTCTGTGAGGAAGTCTCCAAGGAGATTAGCGCATGCATCTGAGTGAGCTGGGTGGGTGCCGCTCCCTTGCCCGCAAAGGAACAACACTGTTCGCAGCTCATCGGTCTTCAGCAGACTTTTAATGGGAAAATAACAGGGACAGAGAAAGAATGAAAGGAGGAGAGTGGACAGGAAAGCCCCCTCCTTCCTCAGCACATAGCTTATATACAAAATCTGGCCAATTGCAAGCGGGCTCAAGTCCATGCATGGAACACTCCAATCCGCTGTCTGTTCACGCAGTGTGCACGCATCCTCGGGCCAATCAGATGAGGTGTCATGCAGCAGGCAGGCTCACCGCGCAGTCCTTGGTGCCATCTTGTTGTTTACAACATTCTCAACTCCTCTGGAAAGTCCCGACTGTGGGAAAGCATTGCCCTAACTGAAACTAGCAACATTCTCCTTGTGATAACACAGCAACAGCTATCAGACTGACCTTGACGTGGGGGCTCCATGGCTGCGCATCCCATGGAGCCCCACAGGTGGGAAGGCCCAGCCTCCTTGTGGGGGTCTGAAGACGCTACTTGCGGACAGGGAGTTGGTGTCTTGCTCGGCCAGCTGGGACACGTCCAGCTCCTGCCTTGGACGTCAGCTGGCGCCTTTGCACACAGCACTTACACCTGGCCCCTTTGCTGGCACTTAGGCGTTCAGTGTCGAGCTCAGAGCTGCACCCTTGGTTTCCCTGGTTCTGAGCCCTTGGACTTGGACTGAGCTGCACAGCCAGCACCCCGGAGCCCCCAGCATGCAGAGACCTGGGACTGCATTGCTGCCCTGATGGCGTGATGATCTTTGCCCCAATTGCTCTGCTGACTCCCGCTTCAACCACCTGTGGACATATTCTACCGATTCTGCCTGTGTGCACATGAGTCGCGTGCATATGTGTGAGTGTACATGCAGGCACATGTGTGTAATGGCCATGTATCATTAACTCTGTCTCTGGGATTTGAAGTGATTTTCATTTCCTATTTTACATTTTTTCCCTGTCTTAATTTCTTAAAAAAAAAAAAAAAACACTATTTACCTTTTAAAAAAGAAAAGAGACGAGATTGGGCGCGTTCAGGGTGGTATGGCCATAGACCTCTATAATTAACACACAATTATTCTTAGGTGTTTAAATTTAACTGAAAAGTGATCCCTGTTAAAAATAAGAGTGGGAATAAGAGAGGGAGGAGATGTACTATTTGGGACATGCTCAATCGGACTTGCCCCAAATGGTAGAGTTAGAAACGTGCCAGGGGATTCCAATACAATCCCATCAAGGTTGCATGTACCAATGCCACCTCACTAGTCCAAGTGATCAATTTCAGTTCACAATTAATCACACTGATAGGTCTAAGAGTCAAAGGAATCACACAAACAAGACTAGTGTCTGCTAATACTAATTGATAGAATAAAAAAGGGAGAGAACGATCCAACATGGGAAGCGGGATGGATACACAGCAGGCTTATAGAATGGCAGATGTCCTAAGTAGCACTCTGGCCTCAGAATCAGCCCTTAAGGCATTCGGATATGGCTGAAGAGCCCATGAGAGTATTTTAGGCATGGAAAGCCAAGACACTCTGGGAAAAAACAAAAAACAAACAAACAAAAAAAACCAAAACCTAAATGAAAGATCTCTGCGAGTGAGATCCCAGTGGAAAGAATGGGGCCATCAAAGAAGGAGGTACCTTTCTCTGAAGGGAGGAGAGAACTTCCACTTTGGCTATGACCGTGTCTGAATAAGATCCAAGTCGGCGAACTCAAAAGGCATCCATAGCCTTGACAACTCATGACTAGAGCCTAGGGAGATTACTGACACCATAAACAAGAGTGTCAAATTGTTAAGTCAACAACAGGAGTCACTGTGTACTTATGCCTCATGTGGGATCTGTCCTTAATGTGTTGTCCAATGTGAAGTAATGCTAAACTAGTACTCAAACAGTATTTTACACTTTGTGTTTCTGTGTGTGTGCAAACTGTGCAAACTGATGAAATCTTTACTTAATATATACTAAATCGATCTTCTGTATATAATGATAATTGAAAATTAATCTTGATGTGAATGGAATGGCAGAGGGAGCGGGAGATGAGAGAGGTGCAAGTGGGAGGGAAGTTATTGGGGGAGGGGAAGCCATTATAATCCATAAACTGTACTTTGGAAATTTATATTTACTAAATAAAAGTTAAAAAAAAAGAAAAGAGATAAATACCTCCTAGTCAACAAGATTATCCTTTATTTAGGGATATTTAGGGATTAGCTGTGTTTAGGGATACCCCAAATTCAAATGACAGGGCAAAAGGACGGCACAGATGCTCAAGATCCCAGCTAGACTCAACTTCCTAATCCCCTCCCGTTCCAGGGTCTTCCCTCAGTTTCCCTGACGTGGGCCGGATGCTGCGTCCCGTCCTCTGCCCCCAGCCCTCCAGCTCCCTGCCCCCCTCATAAGGTATGGCGGACATGTGATAATTTTAATGACATGTGTGGAGGTCAGTTGGACGCCTGGCAGTAAGGAAGCCCCTCGGACACAGACCTCCCGGACCATAATCCACGGCGCAGAGTTGTCAGCCGGCCACTGGCCTGCAGGCCTGCTGCTCCCTCGCGGTGTGTTTCAGCGATCACTCTGACTGCCCTGGTGAATTCTGTTCACCTCCGGGGGTGACCTCCTGTGACAGCATGGGTGTCCTAGGGTTTGGGATGTCACAAAGCGGGGGCATCGACCTGAAGCCGTCCCGAATAAAGGAGCGTTGAGATGATTATTATGTAACTTGTTCCAATCTTGTGCCACAGAATGTGACAACTCAAAGGTCTCCATCTTCTTTATTCTGTTTCAGATGAACAGAATCTGCATTTAGTTTTTCCAGGAAAAAAAATTATCCCCCTGAGCTAACCGGTAAATTGCCTTATATTTTTCCAGGTGGGCGGGGGGAGATTATTCCATCTTATTTTTTCCTAAACATAGCTAGCTGGTTCTTCTGAGATTTTACATTCTGCCTTTTCTTCTGCCTGTGTCCCCTTGCGCAAGGCTTCCAGAACCTTGATGTGCACAAGAATCATCCAGAGACTTCGCTCAAGAGCAGGTCTGGGAAGGGGCCTGCAACAGCACTTCTCAGGACACCTGGGCGGGGGCGAAGGTTCTGGTCCCTGTACCGCCAGCGGCTGGGCTGCGGCTCATGCAGAAGCAGGTGGAAGGTGAAACCAGGGGCCCTGCTCCGTGGGGGCTTCAACAAGTTGATGGAGAATATGCCTCAGGAAAAAGCTGTGAATGAGCTCCAGATCTTTCTATGCACCAAAATAAATGTCTTTAAATTCCACTTTTCCATAAGGTTTTCAAAGACTCCCCTGTGTTCCCTGGCCGGTTCTTTTTACCCCCTGCTGGCTCTGTATTTAGCTGACTCCCAATGGAGCACTTGATTAACACATACTGTTATTTGAATACTACTAGGTAAACAAAAAAAGCAAAACAAACAAGCAAAAGCAAAAGAAGCAAAACACTACCATGTCATCACTCCCAGACGTCCAGCTGCTGGGCTTTCCTGGAACGTTTACCCAGGAGCCCAGCCCTCCCAGTGTCTACTTCCTGCCGGGACTTGCTATGTGTGTTTACAGAGCTCCCTTTGACCTGCCTCCTTGGGTCAAGTTCAAGTGTTACCACTTAGGCAGCACTGTGTGGCCCTGAGCATTCCAGCTCCCTCCTCTGATCCTCAGTCTGCGGAAGGAGGAACCAAAAACCTACCGGCCGCGTGTCTGTGACCTGTACCGGAGATCTCGGCCTAGAGCGGTTGTCCTTAACTGATGCTTATTCATGCCAATAACACCCAGGCCCTGCCTTCTTTCTGAAGTCTTAAACGGCCACAGAGGCACAGTCTCTGGTCCTGTCGCCTCTTCTGGGAACACGCAGTCACACTCCTTTGGATCTCAGTTAATTTTTTAAAATTTGAAAGGCAGAGAGAGAGAGAGAGAGAGAGAGAGAGAGATCTTCTGTTAGTTCACTCCCCAAATGGCTGCAACAGCTGCGGCTGAAACCAGGAGCCCAGAATTCCACCTAAGTCTCCCGTGTGGGTGGCACGGGCCCAAACACTTGGGCTGTTTTCCACCGCTTTCTCAGGCACATTAGCAGGGAGCTGGGTCAGAAACAGAGCAGCTGGGACTCAAACCAACACTGGGATCCTGGTGTCACGTAAGCCCAGCTTAACTCACTGGGCTGCAACACCAGCCCCGTATTTCTTAATGTTAGCTCCCGTTGTTACTATCATTCTGTGCCTAATTTAGAAGTTTCACATCATAGGCATGTACGGGGAAAATATGGTAAAAGTAGGGTTTGTACTGGGCACTGTTTCAGGCATCCACCGAGGGTCTTGAATGTACAGGCAGACTCGTGTATTATAAAACATTGCTGGAAATTTCTACCTCCTGCTTTTATTTTATAAAGAGGTGACATGACGGTGGGTTCAGCAGACCGTGTGTTTCCACATTCAGAATCCATCGCTATTCCCTCGCAGTGCCCCTCCTCCCGGGTCATCCTGACAGCCTCCGCCTCACCTGGGTTCCTTCTTTCCTTCCTGTCTGCAGGGCTCAGGGAAGGCTCATTGTTCCCTTCTGTTGGGGGTTCCTGGGCTCCAAGCGGCAGAACAAGGATCTGGTTCCGAGAGCGCTGAGTAACCCTGATTTCTTTTAAGTTAAACACTTGGTTTCATTTCCCGGTTTTTAAAGTTCTCTAGTAAGTTTCCAGCGCTTTCGACGGCGGAGGGGGAAATGCGGTCTTCCTTCTGCAGACCAGTGGTCATGATTCCAACATCGCGTCCCAAGGCGGAAGCAGGAGGAGGGCGGGTAAACCAACTCCCTGGGGCTTGGGGTGGGGAATCGCCACTGAGGGGAGGAAGGGGCCTGGAGAGTCTTTGCGTTTTCCGTCAACGCCATCGCTTTCCCTGCATGTACAGGTGTGTCCTCTGTCCTGCGAATAAGCACTTGGAAGACGTCCTGAAGAGAGGGTAGGTTTCTAACCTCCAGCAGCTGCCGTGGGAAATCTTTGAAAGTTGAGGGTTTACTCTTCTTTTTCTCTGCACCTGTCATCCTTCAGCATCGTCTTAATAGCTGGTCGCGTGCTCTGTTCCATTGACTTCTAACTCTTTCCCTCATTGCTGTTTTCTTTATTTTAATTCCTTAAGATAGCCAGAAACTTTGCCCTGTCAATACTTTAACTCACCCCAAATGCGATGCCCCTTCTGCACTAGCCTACTAGCTCTGCACTTACCACCCTCCTGGTAACACCCCCTGGAGCGCAGCACTTCTGGCTTCCACCTGGGATGCCCCCCTGCATGGACACTTCCTCCCCTGCCCAGTCACCCCTCTTCTAGTGAGTTCTTTCAGAGCTCAGCTCAGCCACTTCCTCAAGGAAGCCTTCCTGATTTCTGCAAATCACAGCTTCCTAGTAAAAGATCTCACAGCACTACGCAGCTCCTCCTTGTGCAGTTTGACAAGATGAGTGTTTCTCGGATGAATGTCTCTGCTCAGCCCCAGGTTTACCCCCTGAAGCAGGCGGGCATACAGGTTAAAATCAATTAGGTTTGTGAGCTGGAAGACTACGTCTTCGCCACGCCCCTATGTGACCTCATGCCTCTACCTGGCCACACCTGAGTGCCCACCGGCCAATCAGGTTAATTAACCACGCCCCTTTGAGAGTGGGTTAAAAGCCTTCCGCCCTTCTTCTTTGCCCTTGCCTCTTTTGAGGAGGGGGCTGGCTGTAGCCCTGTGCCCCCATGGTGCGTGGCCTTCTGTCCACCTGCCCTAGGCTTCCAGGCCTAGATGCTCCTCCACGTGGCTGGTTCCTGGTGCTTGGTATGAACTCAGAATTACCCCTCTCTCTTAGATAAAGCTCTCACTCTCCTACACATCTTTCTCACTAAATAAAAGCCTAAAATGTACCATGCTGCCTCGTTTATTTATGCCAGTACTTAGAATTCTCTAAATAGTAGGCAGGAACCCTCTCGGGCTTATTAATATTAGGAACTTATTAATAAGCATATGGTGATATCATATGGCACCCCAAATTCCGGTAGCATATGTGGCACCCCAGACTCAACTTCTGAGGAACCTTAAGGGAGCCACATTTTCATACGTATTTTAGGGGGTCATTTCCGATATCACCCCCACTGGTGAGAGCTCTCTTCAGTTTTGCTCCCAGCGGGATTTCTAGCTCTGAGCCCCTTTCCTGTCAATAACTTAGAGTGCAATAACTGTTGAACGTAACCTTGAGAGCAACTCATTTATCACAGACCCTTACTCCATTTCACCCACAATTGAGGGTGCGCCCCTAAAATTCTGATACCGACCACTTGCAGTTAGCATCAGCCGGCACAGGTTTCAGACCGTCCTCTGCAAGACTGCCCTCGGATGCCCAGATGCCGGCGCGTTTCAGGGGCCACCAGCCAACTGCCCTTCCCACTAACCGACCATGGAGTCAACCGTTCCCGTAATCCTCTCACAGGACTCAGCAGAGTGCTGCACGGACTTGGGGTTAGATTTATCAGAGGACGCAGGTCAGGAGCAGCCAAATGCAGAGACACACCGGGCAAGGCTGGGAGGGAACTGCCCGTACAGCCAGGGTGCCTCACCCTCCGGCACATCCGTGAGATCGCCAGCGAGGAGGTGCCCATGACACTCAGGGCCTAGGGTTTTTACTAGGGTTTCATTAAGTCCGGGAGACTGAGTAAAGAGTGCATCGCTGAACCCAGTCTCTAGAGGCCCGGATGGCCTAAAACTGCTCCCTTTCCCCCACTCTCTCCTCTTTCCTCTTCTCCCTGTCTCTCTCTCCCCCAGTTGGTGCAAGGTTCCAGTCTTCCTTCTCCCTCCCTCCCTCCCTCCTTTCCCTCCTTCCTATCAATCTCTATTCTACTATTACCTAGGCATCCCCCCTCCCAGTCGCCTCATTAGCATGACAAGAACACTCCTCTGGGGAAATCCCGAGGGGTTTGGAAGCTCCATGCCAGGAACAAGGGATAAAGTCCCGATAGAACATTTACTATCTGGCAGTCCTCATAAACACAATCACAGTAAAACGCTGGCATTTTGTTCCCCTACAATGGGGAGGGAGCAGGGAGACAGCCCTCTCACACCTCGGGGAAGACAAGTAGCTGAGTACCTGTTGCAGAAGCAACCTGGCCGTACACACCCCAGGCTTAAAATGCCTGGGCCCTTTCCCGACCACGCCACGCTTTGGCATCTGTGGTAGGGAAGCATCAGAGACATAGAGTTAGCTGCTAGAAGGATCATCGCAATGCTGTTTGTTGTATCAAAAATGGGAGATATTAAAGTCCAGGGATGAGAGACAGGGTGAATAAATGACAGGAAATGCACACAGTGAAATGATATGTGTCTATTAAAACTGTTTCAGCCGAATGACTAATGCAGAGGAACATGTTTAAGCATACTATGAAGTGAAAAAAGAACAAAATTAAAAATCTATGTACCGTATAATATTAATCGTGGCTAATTTTAAAGGTGTGGGTGATTACCATTTTTCAATATTTCCCTGTGATTTCTATAAAGATTTTATTATCTTTATCATCAGAAAACTGACACGGTAAAGAAAATTCTCTTTTAAACACTCAGGACCTAATTGAATACAACTCTGAATTATAATCACAAATTATCCTTTCTCATTCATTAAAGTACAGCTGGCAAGGCCTCTCCTTGGCACCCAGTCTTCCAACACTCATTTAAAAGAGCAGTTTATAGCTGAGAACAATAAAGTTCCAACCTTTCCAAATTTCATGTTAATTTTCACAAGCTGTCCCTCTCCACAGTTTGTTCTGAATTGTAGAATTATTCCTCGCCATCCTCACTGGCAGGCTAGAGGAGTGTGTGACAGCTGAGGCCAGGCCCAAACTGCTTCCTTACCCACGGCCCGGCCCCTCCGTCCAGCTCAGGCCTGGCAGGCTGCTCAAGAGTGGGTTGACAGACCGGCGCCACAGCTCACTAGGCTAATCCTCCGCCTGCGGCAGCGGCATCCCAGGTTCTAGTCCCGGTCGGGGCACTGGATTCTGTCCCTGCTGCTCCTCTTCCAGTCCAGCTCTCTGCTGTGGCCTGGGAGTGCAATGGAGGATGGCGCAAGTGCTTGGGCCCTGGGCCCTCATGGGAAACCAGGAAAAGCACCTGGCTCCTGGCTTCGGATCAGCGCGGCCATTGGGGAGTGAACCAAAGGCAAAGGAAGACCTTTCTCTCTGTCTCTCCCTCTCTCACTGTCCACTCTGCCTGTAAAAAAAAAAAAAAAAAAAGTGGGTTGACCAAGAGCCCCAGTCCATCATCTGCCCGTGGTCTCCAGGAGCCCGGGACGGCCTGCAGGACTCCCTCCCCTTGAGCCTGCCTTGCCCTTGCTTTACAAGGCCAGCTCCTGTTGATGTTGGCCCAGCCAGACTCAAGTTTGCAAAAGCAGCTGTTTTCCCTGAACACAGTTCCCTGTAAAGAGGTGAGCCACTTCACCCTCATAAAGCAGAACTCCTCCAAACGGAGCTGTTTTTCCATTAAAGTAGAAACTTCTAAAGTTTCCCAATAGTATCGCTACTTCCTAGGGTAAGCCCCTGAACCAAATCAGGGACGGGAAAAACAGTGGGGTACCAAGGGTGAGTGGGAGGAGCCCTCGGCCTAGGTTAAAGCAGTAAGGAGAGTGTTGTGTGTTTCAAATGGGGACTAAAATTGAGCTTTTCATTATCACATGTGCCAGCAATTCTGAACATTGCCTGTGATAAAATTCTCTCCCCCATAATCTTTTGTTGGGCTACTTTCTAAACAATTATGATGACTACTGTTGAGTTTTAGTAATGTATATACCTAAGCATCATATTCATCTGTTTTTGGTATTTATTCTTCATAAACCTAGCATGCTACATTATAAGTTAGCCTGAAGCACT